CTGGTTCAGACAGACAGACTGTGTTCAGACAGCCCTGCTGGTGCTCAGTCTCCTGTGTGTCTCTCTCCAGCACCAGAGTTCTGGTTCAGACAGACTGTGTTCAGACAGACTGTGTTCAGACAGCCCCGCTGGTGCTCAGGCTCCTGTGTGTCTCTCTCCAGGCCCAGAGTTCTGGTTCAGACAGACAGACTGTGTTCAGACAGCCCTGCTGGTGCTCAGGCTCCTGTGTGTCTCTCTCCAGGCCCAGAGTTCTGGTGCTCCATCTCCTACTTCGAGATGGACGTGCAGGTTGGGGAGCAGTTCAAGGTGCCGGCCAGCTGTCCGGTGGTCACTGTGGACGGCTACGTGGACCCGTCTGGCGGAGACCGCTTCTGTCTGGGCCAGCTGAGCAACGTGCACCGGACTGAGGCCAGCGAGAGAGCCAGGTGTGTGTGTGTCTGCAGTCTGAGGCCAGCGAGAGAGCCAGGTGTGTGTGTGTGTGTCTGCAGTCTGAGGCCAGCGAGAGAGCCAGGTATGTGTGTGTGTGTGTGTGTCTGCTGTCTGGGGCCAGTGAGAGAGCCAGGTGTGTGTGTGTCTCCTCTCTCCCTGACTGCTCCCCTCTGTCCGTGCCTCCTGTCTCCCAGGCTGCACATCGGGAAGGGCGTGCAGCTGGAGTGCCGTGGGGAGGGAGATGTCTGGATGCGCTGCCTCAGCGATCACGCCGTCTTCGTGCAGAGCTACTACCTGGACCGCGAGGCTGGCAGGGCGCCAGGCGACGCCGTGCACAAGATCTACCCAGGAGCCTACATCAAGGTGAGGACCCCTTCAGCGGGAGATTCTGGGGCTCCCCCTGTGTCTCTCAGCGTTACTTAAAGACGGTCATAGGTCATGGTGCAGTGTCTGTCTGTGGCTGTGCCTTCTTCTCATTAGTGTCTGTGTTGTGTTCTTTGGGCGCCCTCTGGTGGTAGAGACAGGGGATGTAGCGGGAAGGGATGTGCAGGATTAACCCCTCTCTCTCTGCAGGTGTTTGAC